GCAACGAGAGGCAGGATAGTGCCGTAACAGTCGGTGGGAAGCCAAACGGAAATCCACAGAATATATATGACGTGAACTGCTAGTGTCCAAAGTAGCTTTATCATTAGATAGCTATCATTCTCATATTCCAGGACATTTCGTTCACATTCTTCCATATACTTTGTCGTAAGCCTTGCGGTCCTGACGGTCTCCATGTACAAATATATATTGGTAAATCCACTACTTATAATAGGAAACGTCATAACGAATATCCAGTAATCGAAGTTACCGATGAAGACCGAACACGTAATGTAGAACGAGACGCAGCTGATCGCCAGGAAGACGAAGAGAAGGAAAGCCCGAAGCTTGGATATCCTGAAGGAGCCACTCTCGCCCTTCTTCACGATGTGGAAACCGAAGAAGCCGGAGAGCAGGACGGTGCAGGTGGAGGCGACGCTAAGGCCTTTCTCTTCTTTTACACAGGCGCTAAAGGACGACGCTCTGCTGACGAAGGTCGCGAGGTACTGCTTCAGGACGTGGGTGCGTTGTGCAGGCTTCATTATCTCTGTTGAGGGAATTTTGCTCGTTTTCGCAAAGGTTTGCGTCTCCCTTTGTGCGGCCATTTCCCGGGCGAGAATGTGTGTCCACTGCATGAGTGACAGGGCGGTGTGGATTACTAGTTTGAAGAGCAATTAGCAGGAGAGATAAGGTTCTGCGATAACGAAAGTACGTTAGAAGCTGTACATCTACTGTTGAGTGCCTGGTGTACGTTTCCCAAGAATCATCTGTTTTTATCATGTAGTTGCGTTTATGCATGTTTGTTAAAGGGCATATGTGAAGTAATTATCGTGCATTATTTTTTCTTTGAATATTGTTCAATAATGTATGCTTAGCCCATTCATGGAAAAAAAATCGAAGCGACCCTCTGGTATCCCCCAAAATCCCATAGCAACGCCCTTAGAAACGAAGATGCAAAACCCGGCGGTCTTCGGCAATCCCCGTTTGTGACGTCATTCCCAGAACCAGGGAGAATCTTGTTGAGTAGTGTAATATACACAGTGCACCCGCGAGTCAAGGATATCGTGGAATTTTCCCAATTTCAAGCTATTAAAGTTTGTAACAAAGGATGCCGCGGCGTTGTGTAGCAATTCATTGTTGCCATTCATGTCACCAGCAATTTGAACGGCCAAAAGACCGCGACAGAGCAAGGAAGTGGACACGTTTTGTGCATGCCAAGCGGAGCAACTTTCAGCCTGTGCCAACCAGCGTACTTTGCCTGGAACACTTCGAGCCCGATTGCTTTGCGAACAGAATGGCTTACGACATGGGATTTGCAAAACGGTAGGCCATTTCCAATTTATACTTGTCATGATCACAACAGCGCAAAACAAACTCTGAAAGAGCGCTTTTGCTTGGCGGCGTAGCAAACATTCATTGCGTGGGTACAACACAGTGTGCCGACTGCATTGCAAGTGTGCATGTATTACTACACAGAGGTAGGGTAGGTACACCCCAAAAAGCACAACACAAATAAATACCGATGCCCCTCCACTCGCGAATGGATGTAGGCCTACGCCACGGGTGCAGACAAGAGATAGCTCAGCCTGCAGAAATTTTGTACCATGCAGAAGCGGAATCACACGTTCGACTATAAAAAATCATTTAGAAAATTACCATTCATTCAACCTCTTCGGGTCTCGACGCCACTCCGTCTGGCTGGTTTGGCACAACTTCCACGACATCCACAGCGTCGGGCTCGTGCATGTACGGTCCAACAACCATCAACCCTTGATATTCCTCTTCTTCCAACTCTTCGAAGACGTAGGCACCCTCTGAAGAACTTATACCAATGTCCTCGTCGGAATAATCTGATGAAACTTCACTGCCGCTGTAGTCTTGTAGTGAGTCCGCCATGTACAATGTATTGAATGCAGAGAATGCTGTGATCGTGTTCTGGAATTGACGTCACACATCCGGGTTCCGGATTTTCGCGGGAAAATATAACTTGACTTCGGAAAATCGAAATAAATCAATTTTGGGGAATTATTTTCAGATTTCCTTTTTTTTTACTCATATTAGAGAGATGGTTTGCGAGCTAATTCTCCCTTTTTTTTATAATTTTCAATTGTTACTTCACATATGCCCTTTAATTAATTCGTCTACTTATCGGTGTCAATATTCTTATATATTTCTGTGCGTTTGTATTGTATATTTGCTGCCTTTTGAAAGAAATGGAAATAGCGTTGATAATGATAATAATGACAATAATGATAAGAATAATAGTAATAATGATAAGAAAAACAATATTGATAATAGTAATTAGAATAATAACAAAAGAAATAATGATGAGAATAACAATGAGGAAATAAAACACATATTGCAAGTTTTGATGAATGAATTACTCTCGTCTTTTACACTCAAGTTAGTTACCGGTAATCACTGCACTGCGGAAGGTTAAATGAGACCTCATTCATATATTAATTTTTATTCATCAGAAGTGTATAGGGTACTGGAGAAGAAT